TTCAGTAAATTAGTTCAGTTTTCTTTACAATTCAGGAAACCTCTTTATAACACTTTTGCTTGAACCCTAAGTAGTAGTGAATTCTCCATTTTGGAAGGTGGTCAATGAAAATGAAGGCTTTATCTTATTGTAAGCGGAATTCTGCTTCCCCCTGTAACTCCCACCTGGTGGCCAAAGTTCTGATACCTGAAATAATGAAGAAACAATTTGGGTACACTGATTAACTCTCTATTACTGTTAATATATTTTTACCAGACTCAATTTTAAAAACAACTGGATTTAAAACCAGAAATATGGGGAAATCTCTATGGCGTGAATTTTAGTAAAGGAGAATTCTATTTGTAGACTGGGTGGAGACAAGCAGACAATACAAAACAAGAGATCAAGCTCGGTGGAAGGGTGATGAAACAGAGAGAGGCCGAAGGGGACAACCATTCCTGGTCCTGGGAAACTGCTGACCTGAGAAATCCTGGGTCCAGAGTTGCGAGATCTGCCACCTTCCCGAGAGAAGGCCCAAATTCGTAATTTTCCTTTGAACTATCCCAATTGTTCAAGTGTTGGCAAATAATTCAATGCTTTTTAAAACAGTGTATCGTCCAAACAAAACAGCTTCAGGGACTGAACTCAGCTGTGGTCCACAAGTTTACAACTTCAAATGATCTTACTTAAGTTTTATTTAAAGAGAAAATATCTACAGTTGTTATTCTAAACACTAGTACTATATACATCAAGTGAAATAGTAACATATTGCAAATGTTATTTTATACTTGCAAGAAACTGGTCAGAACAGTCTCAGATTTAAAATTCTCCAAATTTTAGATTGTTCACTGATGCCATAGCCCACTTACATAAATACAGGATTCACACAGCAAATTAACTTATTAAAGAATGTTCAATATATTTAACACATTTTTAAATGCAAATTTAAAGAATAAATCTCTAGCTGGGCAAGATCAACTAGTTGGCAACATAATTTACGTTAACAACCAGCTTGACTTGTGTTGTGGTTTGTGACTTTAGCTGATGGGTATTTCATTTCTCTTGTATTGTTATCCTCTGCTGTTGTCTTAATTCATGAGAACACATGGTCAGCTGTTGATGAAAAACATCATGTAGGTGATAATGAGTGCATGTGTGTATGATTGAACTTTATTTTCATGACTCACGTTAAAAATCCAAAATGGGAAGATTAAGTCCCTCTTTAATAGCCAATTTAAGTATTACAAACATCTTTTGTGAAGATCTATTGAAATCAATTAGATTTCATTTCATTCTTATTGGCCAAAAAGAACAAAAGAGCCATTATAAGCATATCACTGTAAAAATGCTCAGAACCATTCAATTTTTTCACATACCATTTTTTTTTAATATCCAAAGCATGCTGCTTTTGGACTCTGGGACAAAACAATGAATACCAAATTGGATGTGAAATAACAAAAGATTTATATCAAATACAAATAAACATTTCAATAAACTTGGAGTCAGAAAGAGTGGAGGAGACATAACAACCAAATATTTAATTTAAATCATTGATAGAAATAGTCAGTGTCTTCTTTTCATAAATCACTTGGATTTTATTTGTATTCAGACGCAATGGTAAATGTCAAATGACTACCAGACCATCCTTCTGAATACAAGAAATATCATGCTGTTTAACTCTCTAAATACAAAAAGTGCTTTTAGAAAAACAAAGATAAAAAACAGCATGTCTTAGTCCCACGGATCAATTCAAGAACCACAAAATGCTAAAAGGCACTATGACTATAACAGTCAAGGCTTCCGATTATTCCATATTTTAAAATTTTGAACTTCAAAATAAAGTTTACAGATAAGCACTTTTAAATCTAGGGTAAATCTTATATCTAAGATCTGAGTATCAAAGTTCATCTTCATGCAAGGAATCTTTCATTAAAGCTAGCAACATTAAACATAGATTCTTTTTATATATACTATGTGTAAAATATTATCAAAGGTTCTATCAGACATTAATTATGAAAGAAAATAATGACTTTGAAAGAAAAAGATTTGACTTTGGGTGGTGGGCACACAATGCAATATATACAGATGATGTATCAAAGAAATGTACACTTGAAACCTATGTGATCTTATTAACCAACTAAGCTCCAATACATTTAATAAAAAAATAAAGAAATGGACACACGAAGCCTATATGATCAAAAAAACAAAAAAACAAATGAGATTAGTTTAAAATAAGAAAACTAAAAATTTTACATATAAATATCACAGGTGTGTAAATCCCAGTTATGAAATGGAAAATTGACTAATTAGCTATTTGCTTTTTCTTGTTTGTCCTCACCCAGTTTTTACTGGAGCAATGATGGAAAAATATATCCATCAGAAAAGCCAAAGAAAAGTCAAGCAAATGGTCCAAATTTAATAGGAATGGTATAATCTTCCTCTGAACAAAAGATGGTGAAAGAATTAAATAAGAGCACATGTAAAATACCTATCAATTACCTGGGTAATAAAGGTTACTTTTCTCCCCTTATCCTTACATGGCTCACTATCGTCTCACTCATTAAGGCTTATGTCACCTAGAGAGCAACCTTTGAGAGCAGCTGGCACTCAGTGCCCCCCAGTCCGAGACATAGTACCAAGAATTTAGTAGGCGATTAATAAATGCTTCTAATTTATTAGAGGACAGTAATAATGAACAAATGTAAAAGAGATGTTAATTGATAGGCTAAATGCATTAGTGCATCCCTGTGCCCTCTATATGAAAGGTTACTAACCCATCTGAGCTAAGTGCTAAAATTATAATTAAGTCTGATGGGAAGTCCTAGATTTATACCAATATAATTACAAATATTACTTAGCTTAGTGAAAGAGTATGGCAAGAACAATGAGATGAGTAATTTAGATGGTACTGCAAAGTGGGTTTTAATGTTCGAAACTTCTATTACAGTACACAGGATAAGTGCAGGCAGTGTAATTAAAACCTAAGAGTCTGATCTTCAAAACTCCAGTGCTCAACCTCATTAAAATGCATGTTTTCTCAATTAATCCAAACTTTTCCATTAAAAATATAAAAATACACTTTCATTCCTTGCAAATAAATCTCGACAGTACATATATTTATGATCAAATAGCAAATAACCATTAAAGTTAAGTAGGAAAAAAACGAAAGAAACAGCACAGGCCCGAGTAGATAGAGCCTAACAAAGGGAAGAAAAGGCGAAGTGAGCACTGCCCACTTTCCCATTTGTAAATACCAAGTTTAAGTAAATTCTTGAAGAGCTTGAAGATTTGAAATCCCTGAATATCTTTGCCTAAATGATACAAATCTAGACAAACTGTTTACTTAGGGGATAACCCTTATAATCATACAGAGACTGTGTCTTGCCTACTCTCCAGGTACTGTCCCCTCTCCCAGCAGGGATGCAGAGAATTGTTGTGAAATGAACGGACTTCATTTTCATAATCATTTTGTTGCAGAAACAGTTTTCTCCTTTTAATATGATGCATTACTAACAAGCTTATCTCAATATCAAGCTAATGGTAAATACCTAAAAAAAGATACTTGAAATCTATATGATGAACAAAACAAAAAACAAAAGCAAAAACAAATGAGATTAATTTTAAAAAAGAAAACTAAAAATTTTACATACAAATATCATTGGTATATAAATCCACAAGATAATGTTTTATGTACTTTATTTTATTAGTTGTTATGAAAAGCTGCTTAAAAATTATTTTAAAGCTGTCATATAATTGATTATAAAGAATGTAGATTATAGAAAAGAATTTTATTTTTAAAATTGTTATCAATTTTCTTTAGATTTCAATATACTTCCTACAGTGACTATTATTCAAAAACAATAAACATCTTTCATAAATAATGACCTTGTGCCCATTCTAGATAAGCATTTTTCAAAAAAAGTTATACTAAGAAACAGCCAAGTCAAAGACTATTACATAATTTAAAGAGTAATGCAGGGTAATTTAAGAAAATATCATCAGAATTTATCACAGTTGGGGAAAATGAACCCAACATGATTTTATTTTTAAAGTATAAAAGGAAATTAAAAGTGGAGGGGGATGAAACCTATATAATTTTACTAACCAATGTCACCCCAATAAATTTAATTTTAAAAGAAGTAGCAGGAAAAGTGTTTTGAAAGTAAGGCATTATAAGACACAAACTTAATAAATTATTGCTGCTATCTGTGAAAAAAATATTTAAATCTAAATAGGATCTAATTTTAGCTTACATAGTGCTTTCTATTTTAAAAGCAAAATATCTTTGGTGGTCTATCTTTAAAAAAATTTATTCTTGAAAATTTGGGGGACAAAAATCTTGTCTCATGCCTGTATTTAAGAACCCACCTAAACTAGTCAGTAGCAATACAGTACTACTACTTTATAGTTTTTTTCATAATAAAAGTCTAATCTCAAGGGTCCTTGCATCATTTTTTCTTTCATGCAATATTTCAAAGAAATAGTTTCTTACTGTTTATATGAAAAAAATACCTGTTATACACATCTTTACTCTCTATATTAAATTACTCACTACATGACTCACTTTGTTTTCATTTTGAAAACAAATTATATTTATACAGGAAATATATCATCCTTGAGAAAGTATCTGAATGTATAATATTTGAAATAATTTCTAAGAATCATTTTCCTTACTAAGTGGACAGTAAAATCAACTACAAAAGTTGTAAAAATATTAAAGTGACAAACAAAATATCCTGGGTGAGTGACAAAGAAATAATTCATCAGACTGCTGTAGATATAACTGTTTAGGCAAACATTTGAATCTTTAACACATGAAAACCATGTTGCAAATATATGCAATAGATAGGATAAAAGTACACACTTAGGTTTTCAAAACTCAAACACGTCTATTTGAAAAGGCATGCTACATTAAATCTTCCTTAAAGTTGACAAGCTTTGTTATAATGATAATTAGTATTTGGTACATAGAACCCATGTTTTCTTCTGGAAAATTGTTTTTAAGATGTTATTTTTGTTACCTGTCATTTATGATCCAGTTCAGACAGAGATTGAGAGAGCTGAGATTTTTGCACCTCTTGACAATTTCCATCACGGTTTCATTATCCAGTTCAGTGATATGACGTAGGTCCAAGCTGGAAAGGTTTCTTAGCTAACGAGATAAATAAAATAAAAGATGAAAAAAAGTAAATGTTACATTCATTCTAAAACAATTATATAGTTTATTACAAAATAGAGTATCATGTATAATATTTAAATAGATAATAATCCAGAATCATTTAATTAAACTGGCTTTAAATAGTATTTTACATACTAAATTAGAAATGAGATCAGAAATCTATTGTGAATATATAAATGATAATGTATTTAAATCAAACAGATTTTACCAAGGCATAATAAAAATTAAAAGTTAACAACCTAATAGGTGTGGATGCTATTTGATATATTACATTAAGTACCCACAACATGATAGGATTATTCTCTTTAACACTGTTCAATTTCAGATATTTATCTTCATGATTATCTACTTTTGCATAGGTTTTCTCATTTTTTAAAAGACAAAATATGAGTTACGTGGTTAATTCCAAGATATCTTGATGCTATTTTATCAATGTACTACAAATTGTCCCATTACGGGTTGTATGCTTCACCATCTGGAAAGCAATATAACACGATTAAGAAGTAAATGTTTTCTCTAGGTGCCACTTTCCCCTTTTCTTCATTTTCTCTACTCTTTTCCTGATGTCTCCTGACTTCCCCTGATGTTTCATCTCTAAAGAAAAATAATATTATTTAAACAAAGATAGTAGGATCTTAATTATCCTCTTCAAATAAACTACTTTTCAGATAAGTTACTTTTGCTCAGTAACATTAACTTGTAGGAGGATCTAAGCTCTAGAAAGAAATGCAACCCCAATTGAGACACTGATTACGATCTTGTGAGACCCTGGGCAAAAACCAGCTTGTAGTACCTGGACACTTGACCCGTGGAAACAGTAAGATGAGTAATGTACATTGTTTTAAGCTGCTAAGTGTGTGATAACTTGTACAGCAACAAAAAAATTAATATAAAAGGTCTGTAGGGAACTTTGCATCCTTGAAGATAAGCTTGGTTTCTCTTAAGACGAGAAGAATATCCTCAGTCACTTGAAACACTGAGGCTCACTGCCCTTCATTAGATGCATGTGCTCACAAAAGTACTGAGGGAGACGCTCGGTCGATTCAGCCTTCTGCCCTAGGTGTACCTTCAGCTCCCAAGAAAATCTTTCTGGGATGACATGAAACTCTGAAGTGGCCATTCTGTTAGCGCCACATTGTCAGTGGGGGTGGGGGGGGGGGGTCTTGCTAAATTTCTCAAACCAATCCCTGACTTTTACTCAATTCAGGTTTTGTGAACAGTTGTATGTCTCCTGTCCATATCTTAGTACCACAAAGTAACCATCTTTTTATACTACTAAACTTTTATTTCCAGAAGATTTTGCATTGGGGCTAAAGAAGTACCTAAAATGGTTTCACTGGTCAAGCTTTGTTATTCCTGACTAAGCACAGGTGAATTTGTACATGTCAAGGATCCCAGTCACTGGTAGATTTGTTATTACTCTTATTAATGTTCCCCTCAGTAATGCACCCTATACTTCTATTTTCTATATAAAACCCAGCATTTCTCTTAAACCACATTATTTTTATAGTTAGCTCTTTTTACAGAGTATTCTTAATCCAAACACCCCCAAAATTTTTGCTGTTGGAGATGTACTCTTCCGGAAAGAAGTAAAACACCAAAGAGCCTCTTTGAACTGCAGGTGCTGGGCAGCTGGCTGGGCTCCTGTCCTGACAAGCAACCTCGTGTCCATACCACAGCAAGACCAGAAGAGGGCCTATGGGGTTTCTTGAAAACACTCTGAAGCATGACTATTAAACCTATGAATGTAAAGATGAATTTTGCCATGCATAACCACATACATCTGTGAACTGTTAAATACAGCCACATACAATACACATAGAGCTTCGCTGTCTTTATCCTTTATTATAGTCACTAGGAAGTCATACATTCATAAAAATTTTATTCAGCCACACAAATACCTCCTATACATGTATAGCACAGCTTCTGATACAAAATTTCTATGTGAATTCTTATATATCTTTTGGCTTCCTTTATTGTAAAATATCTCTTTGTCACAACAGTGCAGATGTACTTAATACCAATGAACCATACACTTCAAAATAATTGCAAAGGTCAACTGTATATTATATGCCTTTTACCACAATTAAAAAATCTCTTTTATCAACCAGGACATATAGGAACATACAATAAAGTTCCATAGAGAAGAAATTAAAGTACAGATAATAGGGAGAAAGATGCTAGCAAACCTAAACTACATATTCTATAGACTTGGGAGAATTTAAAAATACCTTCTAGAACAATGGAATAGCAAGGGGTAATGATTCCAGTCACTATCTACGTGAGATAAAACTCTAGTTCTGGCTGACTGACTCCCGAGCGGTTAGAAGTCGGGCAGCCAGGCTGATTCCCAGCACCGGAGCCAGGTGCCGACACTGGGACATGGTGGCTGCTGCTGCCAGGCACGTACTGCTGATAAATGGAACCTTTCTCACTCTTGCAACAGAGCACATGTTCATACATGAAGAAACAGATTCATTTTGGCGCCCACATAACAGCATTCTATTGAGATCTTGAAGAGTGTTTTACTCTTGGTTTCAGTTACAGAGCTCATTTTTTTTTCTGACCTGACAATCACTGACTAGACTCCCATGGCCTTCCCTATGACCATTTTTGCCATTTCAACTTGAAATATGACAGTATCCAAAGGCAGCTCCAGGAAGCTAATTCCTGGTAACCTGCATCATTATAAGACACATACTGAACACCTCTAGGAGATGTGGCATATTTTCATTCAAAACTCCATAAACAGCTCTGTCAAATTCATCACATTCTTTCCCTTGCTATGGGAATTTAATAATAGTGCCCTCCAGTGTTTCATAAAAAGCTGCCTAAAATAATCCTTCAGAGCCTGAAACAAATAATTACATTTACAAAACTGACATTTTAATTAAACTTACTTTCCTTATAAATTCACTGGTAGTCTTGGGTTATACAGATCACAGAGGATTTGAATAAGTAAAGCCATACAACCAAGATCTTCTAAATGCTTTGCTCCAATTTTTAAACGTTTAGTAAAGTATTTTAAAAGAAAATCAAGTTAGAGTATAGAATGTAGGTAACCAACTTTCAGTTTAATACTGCTTTTATTGGGAAAAGTATTACATTATCCAACTCAGGTTAAAGACTAAAATTAGTCAATGATTGGTATGGCTGTATATGTACTTAAGTACAAAGTGAGACACTAAAATGTTACCTAGCAGACACAGGCTTGGAGGATTATAAAAATACCTTAAATGGTTTCCAAATTTTCTTAAGACCCTGGAAATGCAAAAAATGAAACAAAATTCTCAATTGTACAGGTTACCTACAGGAGGTGAAGCAACAGAAGACTCACAGAATCTTGGCAAAGACAGCAGGATGTTTCACTTTTTCAGGCTAACAAGGATAATTAATGTGACGCCAGTTGGAGGTGTTAATTTTTGAAAAGACTAAACACTTCTGTATAGTTAAGCATGTTCAAATGTCAACTAGTACCTAAATTACTTCTTGCCAGCCCTGCAGATGTTGGCTTTACTGGGAGTGAATTTCAGAGCAATCTGCTGTAATCTTTAGGGATCAAAGTCAAGGGTTAAGATAGGCTGCCTTGACAGGGTTAACTGAGGCTGTAGATCAGTACCACACACTCATCCGCCAATCACCTGTCAGGCTGCCAAGATGATTACTGTAGAGACCAAAGGCACAGGGAGACAAGGGTTAGAGAAAGACATTACTAAGAAAACTGGGGAAAGCCTTCTATTAAGGGCAGGGAGGGAGACACAGGAGAAAGGGAGAGGGTTTTAGCATGGGTCTTTGCATGGTAAAACTGAAAAAAATACTAAAGAACTAAGACTGCTGGGAATGGAAAGAAAAGGGACAGAGAGAATTTCTCTCCCTGAGCATATAAAAGCTTTCAAACTTTGACAGGGCCTAGTATGTACATTTAGAGAAGAATTTGGTTGGACAAGAGAAAGAATATAGGGCATCCCTTCTGCTCATCAATAGGCCTGAATGAACCACAGCTTCATTAAAGCTGGCACTCCAGTACAGAAATGGTAATAAAAGCTAAATAAACCACATTTAGGACATCAGGCAAAGCCTTTCCAGCACCTCACAGAACTGAGTACCTCGGTGGGAACTGAAAGCTTTTAAGGAGAGAGCCTGAACGCCTGCCAGAGACAATAAAAATTTCTAATTCCAATCATGAAAATAGGATGTCCAGGGTCTTAACTGCTGTCACATCAGCGATAACTACCATGTTAATCCTCTGGCACCTTCTCTGTGTATTCTTTCCAATCACTGGCTTCTTACTCATATTGGGCTGCTGTCTCTGCTTTATTTCCAATCAAGGCCTGTTTGGTTCTTTATTCTCCTACAGCATCTGATATCTTTCACCATTTTATTCGCATTCTGTTTTGCTTTCTAGGACCCTTTGCTGAACTGTGTCTCCTCTAAGCTATCCCTCCTAACTCCTTCTTGCCACATTACCATTCAGATTTATATTCCTTCAATAACTGATCGCATCTCACACCTTCTCTGAAAACTTTAGGAAACAAAATATTTCAACTGCAAAAAGGAATCCCAGAACTTTCCTATCAAGGCCCTTCACTGTCCATTCCTACCATTCCCTGATATCTGCTAGGCTAGCTCAGATCTCTTTCCCCAAGTTTTGGGAAGTTGTTCTCACTGAGTTGTGTTCAGAGAGCTGTGTTCATTATTTTAAAACTGATCTCATTTCCTGATTACTTTAGAGAAAGGAAAAATTAGTGAGTCACAGAAATATACTTGCCTTAACACAAATTATGAAGTAGGCAGTCTTCAACATGACTATGCCCTTTAGGCAGGAACCATCAATTGATAACAACTGCCAAGGGACCATGGGGGCTAAGTTCCCTTTGTGCTACAACTACTTGGGGGTCTGCTCTTCATTTTCTCCATCTCCTTCACCCTCCCTTTCCCCTTCACTTCCACCAGTCTTTCCTGGGCTGTGCTGC